CTATCGCCATCCCATTTCACAGATGAGGAAGTAGAGGATGCAGCGAGAAAGAGACCGCCAGTCAGTGGCAGAGCTGGGACCTGACCCAGGCAGTCAGACGCCAGCATCAGATCATTACCACTCCACCTGTTTATTGTTAGGTGTCTTGGCAGACAAGTCCCACTCAACTGGCAAATGATTTTTTTTTTGAGAGAGAGAGAACATAAAGGTAAAACAAAAATTACCTTGTAAATATTCAAAGCTATTGCACCAAATAGAAAAGTAAAATTAAGTGAAAAATTCTTCCTCCCCTTTGAACACAGGCACGTGACTCTATCTGAAATGACTTAAATTTGTCCCGATACCTGCAGGAGATCCAGAGGCAGTAAGAATAATGGCGGTGCCGTCCAGAGAGGGGAGAGAGAAGAAGGTAGGTTTGGATGTACGTAGGTATGGGTGTGTGCCTTGCATCAACCCACCCAACCCACGCACAGCCAGACACTAGCCAGACGCCCTTTGCAAGGGAAAGGGTGATTGCAGGCTGTAGCCCACTGCTGTGCAGGTGCCTGAAACAGGCCGGAGTCACGTGGGAAATGCCAATCCAAACCCAACTCCCCACACTCTAGGTTGCCACACACGGACTCCCCCTCACACCGCTCCTTAACCCGTGGGGATCCAGTCCCTCGCTCAAGGGCAAATTCATGGAGAAAGGAGTGGAATTAAGCTTTAGAGGAGTGTATGTAACCTTCTGGTAGAGCATAATGCCTCCCGGACATACATTTTATTTCCAAAGTATGGGTCAGCTAGACATAAGCAATTGATTTTTTAAAATTGTATTCATTGATTTTTAGAGAGAGAAGGGAAGGAAGAGGGAAACCCCGATCTCCTGTTCCACCCATCCACGCACTCCTTGGTTGCTACTTGTATGTGCCCTGACCAGAGATCGAACTCACAACCTTGGTGTGTTAGGATGACACTCTAACTAACTGAGCTACCCAGCCAGGGCCTCTGATTTTTTTAATAGTTAAAGCAATCTAATTGATGTCCATTACAACCCTCTGAGGTAACTTACTATCATATCCATGTTACAAAATAGTTATTGCTTATTGAGTACAAATTGCATTAGACAGCAAGTTTTAATCAATCCGGGGACAATTATCCTGAACTGAAGTTGTTTGTTTCTATGAAAAACTTCCTTAGCCCTGGCTGGCGTAGCTCAGTGGATTGAGCTCGGGCTACGGACCAAAGTGTGGCAGGTTCGATTCCCAGTCAGGGTACATGCCTGGGGTGCAGGCCATGACCCCCAGCAACCGCACATTGATGTTTCTCTCTCTCTATCTCCCTCCCTTCCCTCTCTAAAAATAAATAAATAAAATCTTAAAAAAAAAAAAGAAAAGAAAAACTTCCTGACAGTTTCCATTCACCATACCTTGCTCTAACAGGGAGGCGACTGTGGCAGCTAGGAAGTGCACAGCCCTTGGAGGCAGGACATGTGGAAAAGCGCAGCCCAGGCCTCGGATCCCGCTGCTCCGAGGCTCAGAACTCCCAGCTTTGAAAACCAGAGAGCAACGCCTACATTGTCAGATCACCATCAGGAAGGGTGATGGCATCTGGAGGCAGACAGCTGGGATTTGTGTCCCAGCTCTGCCTCTCAGTGTCTGTGCACACATGTGCAAATCATCTAACCTCCGTGACCTTCTGTTTCTTCATCTGTGAAAAGGGGAGAGTTTTCATACCAGTGCAGAGCAATGAAGCTTAAACGTGTTGAAAATTTTAGACCAGTTACACAGCGCCTGCTACACAGAAACAACTATGTGAACAGTGAACAGAGAGGAGGGGGAGGGGGTCACGGGGAGGGGTGTCATCAAGGAACACGTATAAAGGACACTTGAACAAAGCCAAAGAGGGGGAGGATCGAGGGTGGGAGTTAGGGATGGGTGGTGTGGGGGACGGGTGGGGGAAAAATGGAGACAACTGTCCTTGAACCACAATGAAAAAAAACTTGGAACACGAAAAACAAATTTAAATAAAATAAAATAAAACTGTGAAAGGGGGGAAGAGAAAAGAAAAGAGCTGGGAAGGTTAGAAGAATGGCTGTAAGGTGGAAGGACGCACAGAGCCGAGCGCCGGAGACCCCGCGGGAGCCGCCTCTGTGTGAGAGCCGTGCAGACAGGGCGGCCCCTGAGCGCAGACTCGGGAGCCACACTGCCGTCTAGGAAGCTCGCACCGAGACCATTCCGCACAGATCGCTGGGCTTCTGCGGACCTCTCTCCACTTCTCCTCTCCCTCTCACGCTGTCTTTACCTGCTAGTCGGTGGTTATGGGAAACCGGCCCCAGTATGGGACATAAAACCGTGCCCGTTTTCCAGAGAACATTTCAAAGGAAAACGAGGACCGGCTCTCTGTTATCTCTCACCAGCTCTGTGATCATTATCAAAGAAGACTTTCATTTGTTTTTTGCTTTTATTCAGAAAGCTTTGCCAAGTTCAATACAAAAAGAATCAAAGTCACATCAGGATAGTTTTAAAATACTGTACAAAGCAGTTCTTCAAGAATTACCAACAACGGCCAAATGTTCCCTAATTATGTTCCACTGAATTGCAGACACTGGCTGAAAACTCCCCTGCTCGGGTACCCACGTGCCTGCCTCGTCTGGGCGTTTTGCATGTGTGCACCCACACGGCCGAGCTCGCTCTTCAGCAGACGCCCACGCCCACGGGCCCCATCAGTGCTATTGGAGTGCTTACCTAAATAGACAAGGACTCGTCGAAAATAACAATGAACTGACCAAGGCGGTTGCATGGAACTGGGCTGTCATCCATCGGGAGCAAGGGAGAAACTGTGATTTGTGCTAACAACATGCTCACAAGTAATAAGCATTGCATCTGCCATTAGAGACGTAGTGAACTGGAGGATGATGCATTTTTACAGCTAAAACTTTTGTTTCTTTTTTATTTACATAAGCCGTATGCCATATAAAAGTAGAGACGAAATACACGTTGAGTAAAAATTGGAATAACCATTTTGGTAGAGCTGTGACTAGGCAACAGGTTCCCAAATTGCATGGGTGGAGAGGACTGGAAGCCTTTAAAAACATCCTACTCCCTGGCAGGTGTGGCTCGGTGGACTGAGTGCTGGCCTGCAAACGGAAAGGTCGCGGGTTCAGTTCCTTTGCATGTCAGGGCACCTGCCTGGGTGGAGGGTCAGGTCCCCAGTCGGGGGTGTGCAAGAGGCAACCACACATTGACGTTTCCCTCTCCCTCTCTTTCTCCCTCCCTTCTCCTCTCTCTAAAAATAAATGAATAAAATCTTTAAAAAAGAAATAAACAGTGCAGGTTGATTTTCCTGCCAGTTCTTAAAAAAAAAAGAAAATCCTACTTTTGTTTCCTAATCCAAACAATGAGGAATATCAGATGAAACTAAAGACAGAGCTCCGAACCGGGAGCCCCAAGACCTGCCCCTGGCCCGACCTTACTGCTTGGGTACTGGAGCCTGCCCGCGGGCCTCAACTTCCCCACCCATCAAGAATGATCAGTGGACTGAAGGACTCCACAGAATCCGAGGACACAGCCATTCCTCCTCTTACAGGCCGAGGGCACGATGCTCTTCTACTGCTGTCGCCCTCTCCTGGCGTGGCCTGCTTGGGGTAGAAGAGGTAAGGACAGTGAAGGACTCGAAACCCTAGTAGGCGTCTAGGACTACAGCACTTTTCAGCCATCGTCCGACCCAGGCCACCGTTATTTGTCAGCAGGGCATATATGTGCTCGTGCTAAGGGTCCAGTTTTATTGAATAACATGCCCTAACATTCATTTTCTTCTTTCCTCCCCATGGTCAAAATCCAATTTCTATGCAAATGCCTTGGTCAGAACATTCCTATTTTTAACAGGCAGCAAGATTCTTCTACTTGAACAGGAAGATTTGGAATCACTGTTACAAACTGTGCAGAATTCCTCCGGAGCAGAAGTAGCTTATCTCATTCTCATGGGCTCAGACCAGCAGGGCATAATTTTTTTCCCCCCAGGTCTCCCAAGGACTGGCAAAATCCACCAACACCTAAGCAAACCCCTTGCCCACTTCCGAAACCGTGGGAAAGAGATGGAGGTCAAGTGTCCTTGTTTGGTGCCCAGAGTCCAGAATACATCTCACTTAAAGGTTAACTGGCCCACTCACTGTTACTTCCTAAGAAAAAATAGTGTGATTGCCCATTACTCTTTTATTCGGGGGAGGCTGGTGTTCTCTGGACTCCCACGGGTCAGACAAGACCTTCATGAACAGTGACAAATGCCACCACTTAGCATGGCCCTGCTTTTTCCAGCTCTCTCCTCGGGTGTCGCCTTGACTGAGCCCTATAAATGCGGCCCCTTCGGCCTTCCCCCTCCTGCTTTAATTTTCTCCACATATGAGATACGTTTGTGGATGCATTTCTCGTCTACCTGCCGCCACCAGAAAGTAAGCTTCTGGAGGACGCTGACTTGGTTCTGCCCACGCCTGTGTCGCTAGCGTGAACAGTGCACATTGTCGGTACTCAGCAAATTACCTGTCCAAAGGCTCAGGGTCAGAACCCCTTTCAGTGAATAAAGACTGTTTAAGGGTAAGAAAGAGAAAAGAAACACTTAAGGGAAAGTATAAATCATCTCATGTGTCCTAGGCACCGTGGGGACAGTCTTTTAACACACAGAGATACCGATCACATTACTACCCGATGCTCCCATGTCTCAGCCTCCGTGACTAGAGACGGCATTTCTAATGTAAAGTTTTATAATTCTTTGTCCCTCATTTACTGTCAAGAGGCACAGTTTAGCGTCCAATTCTATTTGTCTCTTTGCAATAAGGGAGATGCTCTTTATTGCATGGGTTTTAATCAAGGCGGCACGTTTTACAACTGGGGATGCCTTAGATAGCATTACCCTTGGCCTCCGCTAACTGACTTTCACGGAAAGGAAGGCGCCTGCCTAAGCGACCTGGGGGCTACGAGGAGCTCCTGTCGTAGGAGCTCCCTACGAGGGAGCCGGGCACTTACTGCTGGAGCAGGAGGCTTCCTTAGGGCTGGACGACATCGGCTGGGCACAGAGTTGACAAAGGCAGTCTCTCCCATTGAACGTGACGCGGTCTCCGGGAGGAAAGGGGCGCCTGGAGACAGAAAGACATTGCTCTGTGGTTATTCCAGCAATTTCATGCCAGTTCCTTATTCCTCCTGCTGGCTGCCCTCCGGTGCCAATTCACTTCTTGGAGGAGCACCAGCCAAAACATCTGAAATGCCACCTTCCCCAGGCCAGCCAGCTGGCTATGGCCCAGGCAAACCAACATGCCTCAGCTTGGGAAGGGGGGACGCACGGCTTCCACGGGCACCCGGAGAGTGAAAGGGGGTGGTTCCCCTCTCCTCACTGGTGGGGGCTGCTCCAGCGAGTCCCTCACGGGGCGCACACAGTAAAATTTTCCGTTTTCCAAATGGAAAGTCCTTCATGAAGAAACATTGTAAATGCCATAAATTCTTAGTCAGGCTTAAGGCCCCTCCCAAGGGAACTGGTTACAAGTCAAGCGTTAACTCGTTCAGTTCCCAAGACCTATGTGATAAATGATGCTGGATTAGACTTAGTCCAGGACATTGGAATGGGTGACCTGAATGTAACAGAGTGCGGGGCGGGGACCCAGTCTCTTCTGGAGAAAAGTGACAACGCTATAAATATCTGCTTGAAAACTACTATCAGCTTCTCTTCGGAAAGAGAAATTCCTTTCGCATGAGACGTTCATTAGTAACAGCGCATTTTGCCAAAAATACTGCCTTCTGCGTGTATGTTATCGCTTTCTTCTCTAGTTCAGCAGGCAGATAGCATTTTTAAAAAGTCATTAATTAATAGCCACATGAGTTTCCATGCCTGCTTGCTTGCACTTGGGCAGTTGGCCAATAATGTTCGCACACCTGAGTTTTCAAATGCGTGATGGTGTCGGCTGGAAACGGGAAACTCACGAGCAAAGCATCCCCACACTCTGAGTCTGAGCGGTTCTTTAAGTCAGACGCAGTCAGCCTCTTGACCCGAGTTTTACTTTCACAGTTGCTATCCCCCCTTACCTTGCCCTTCCGCTGCCCTGCAGTGGTAATCAACTGTAATACACATACAAGAAGTACACGTGGACTAAGGACAGCTCCACGCATGTGGCTGGTGCTAGGCATCGAGGAGAGTTGTGGATGCTCATATCCCCACATTTTAGAAACGCTGAGTGGAGGTGCCGCAGTGTTCCTTTCCATTGCTCAGAGAAGGCCCAGAGAGGCCCAGTGACTTGCCTGGATTGGTCAGCTAGGGAGGCCAGGCCACTGGCAGCTGCGGGTCATGCCCACCAGCCCAGAACATACTGTCTTTAGTAATCAGATCCCCACTCTCCTGGCTGCCAGGGGGACTACTGGATCCCACTCACCAAACCCAAAAGAGCCCCCAGACTGCTCGGTGAGGAGGGCGTCAGAGCTGAGGGCCCACAGCACAAGCACAGGTTCATGGCCTCCGTCGGGGCTGGGAGTGGGGTGAGGCCAGCAATGTGCCTAGAGCACAACATTTAAGGAGGCCCTGACTCTCAGGAGCTGACCCTGCGCTGCACGACCCTGAGTGTGGGCACTCCTTTAAATTGTGCCTCTATTAGCCTCATTGCCTCACCCTCGTCCAGGCCCTGCCTCTGATCTAAGCTTATATAAATATCTAAGTTTATAAATATATAAGCTTTAAATAAACTTGGATCCTGTACAGACCTACTATGCACCAAGCTGGAGTCCAGTTCTGAACATGGGACCAGATCTTCTGGACTTTAAGTTTTATCATTTCATAAATGACCCTGTTGAGGTTCTTTCCCCCTACCCTATGTCCTCTGCCCGTGTGGGTCCACTGTGTTCTGTTATTTGCACGTTTGCAATAGAAAGGGAACTGGATGTAGAGTGAGAAACCTGAGTTTAAATCTCAGCCTTGCAACATTAAGCTGGGAAAGTCCCTTAAACATTGAGACTCAGAGTCATTCATTAATAGGGATACCAATTCCCGATTCACAGAATTGCTAGGGAGGTGAAATGAATTAAATCCCGTGTGCATGCATTTGTAGACTCAGGTAGAAATACTGTGGCTCAGCAGTAGCAGCAGCAATAGTGAGCACCTCTTTGCTGGTTCAAATGCCCAGGGATGTGGTTATTGCTAATAAATGTCCACCCATCCTTACCAACCAAAACAATGATGTCTCAGGGCCAGGATCGGGGGGGCTGTTAGAGTTTATCTGGATCAGAGCCTTCCAACTGGCTGAGTCACATCATACTTGGGGACCCTCCAGAAACAGCTAACTAAGAATGAGAGGGGTTTTGTTTTGTTTTGTTTTTGGAAGACTAGAAATGGGCATTTTTAAAGAGACCCTCCATAAGGAGATTGCAGTGATCATCCAGATTTGGTGAATCATTCACACCTACCACAGCCTCTCATGTTACAGACGAGGCAACCCCTTTGGAAGAGCTAATTCACACAAGTCTCAAGTCAGCCTGGGAGGCAGGACTGCAGCTTGGAGCTCTGGAACGCCAGCCCTGGGCTGTCACGCAGCCTGTGGGCTGCCACCTGGACAGGGAGGGGCCAAGAGGAAACTTTGCCTTTGATTAAATACACAACGATTTTCAGCTCATTAATCCAAAAATTTTAATTATCATTTTTTAAAAATGTATTGAGAAATGGGCTAATCATTATAAAATTATTAAAATAATTTTATTATGAATATTTTGTTTAAATATTATTATGATTCATCTGTCAGGATTATCTTGTTAATTAATTACATACAATTAAATTTACCTCCCTAGAGTGTACATCTTTCTGGCTCACAAATGTGAAACGCTGAGAAACCAAACCAAACACCTTCTCCGCATGGGAGTTTTCAGAAAGCACAGCCACAGGGAACGACAACATCGCCACCATTCTGACAGTCACGGGGCTGTCCAATCAGAAGAGGTCAACAGAGCAGCCGGCCCTGGTTGTGAATCTCACCCTTACAGAAGTCAAGCCCCCCTTAAGTTCTACAACGTGCCGCGTTCACGGCAAGACATCAAAAGCACACTTCTCCGCTCACGCTGCACAGTTCCCTTGCGTCTGACAGATCCTTTTCACCGACTCGGTCTGTGAAGACGTACCCTGGGGGACGAGAGATGTGCAGGTAACGGGTGTCTGCAAACTTTTCTCCTAAAATACCAGCTCACAGAGGTTTGTTTACACTCTGTGGATGGTGTGGTTTTTGTCACAACTACGCGACTCTGTCACTGTAGTTTGAAAGCAGCCACAGACAATTCATAAATGGGTGTGGCTGTGTTCCAATAAAACTTTATTTAACAAAAACAGGTATCAGGTCTAATGTGGAGCACAGTCCGCCCACGCTTGCCCTAGAGTAAATGGGGCTCCTTCACAGACATGCGCATGCACACCCACACGCACGCGCATACGAACGTCTGCTTCCAAATATGCTTTACCTTTCGAGTCAGTTACGTCGTCTCTTCCCAGCGTGTCATTGCTCAGAATGGCTTGAGACCTAGAGGGCTTTCAGGCTGGGTTTCAAGCCCCTCAAAATGAGTCCTATTGTTTAGTAGAGGCATCATAAATTACCTTTTTTGGGCCAAGATGGATAATACAGTAGAAAAATAAAGAATTCTAAGGACACATCAGAAGAGAAATATTTCAAGACTAGGCACGACTCGAGACTCAAGGGGTGTGTGCCAAGCCGTGGCCGCAGAACCCCGCGCACTTCTCAGCTGGGAGTCCCTCACTTACTTGCAGATGGTACAAGCAAAGCAGTTGGGATGGTAGGTCTTGCCCAGGGCGGTCACCACCTCTCCTTCCACGAACTCCCCGCAGCCGTGGCAGCGTGTCCCGTACATCCTCTGGTAGTCCAGCGTGCACAGGTACTCCCCGTTCTTTATGAAGAAGCCGCCTTGCGCCAGGTCGCAGCCACACACTGTGGAGAGACAAGTGCACCTCTGGTCACCGTCCGCCCTCCGCATGCCATTCACTTACTCTATGATCTCAGTGGTTTGGGCTCAGGGGCGGGGACTGGTACAAAGAGCTATTTATTATGGGGCTCCGATCTCTCTCTTGCCTCCCTCCCCTTTTTGTTTCCTATCCTTTGGGAGCTATGCAATATCTCATACCAGTAAAATCCATTGGCCAGGTCTCAATGACTTTTGTGTTATGCCTGAGATTCCGAGATAATCAAACAGTCTTTGATGGAAAGATACCCTTGGTTCATGCTGTCTCAGATACGAACAAAGCTGTCCCTGGCAGTGCTATTTAGGAAAGGTACCCACTGCTTGCCCACACAACTGCTTTGTTTGAGCCAAGATTGTTACTGAGCTGAGTAATAAATTCCCACTCCACGAAAAGCAGTAGTGAAAACGTCCAACATCTATTTTTTCACACTCTGGAAATACTTTCCCATAGCTTTCTTGTTATGCGGTAAATAGGAGAAGCCAATCATTTATCTATTATAGAACATGAGATAATAAAAACGAACAGGGAAAAGAGGAAAAAAAAGGGAACTTGCCCAAGATAAAACTACTGTTCGGGACCTCGGCTCATGCAAAGGGGGTGCTCTGCTGCGTCTGGACTTTGGTGTCTCTTTCAACCCTGTGCAGCTTCGGATTATGCAGACGGGCAGAGAAGCAGGTCCCAGGATGCCAGGGGCTTGGGTCTGGTCGACGTGTTCAGACAAGACCAGAGGAGGCAGCAGGAACTTGTCCAAAACCAAAGCCTGACAGTCAAGTTGCCTGCTGCCAAAGGACTGGGGAGCAACGGCCAAAGCTGGAAACCTCTGATCTTAACCCCCCAAATCCCAAGGTTGTGGGATGCCCATGTGATTAAGGGCCTTAGGCCAAGAATCCAGGATTCTTCTTGATTATTTGTACAAGCAGATGAGATAGACACTAGTTGGGGTATGAAGGAGGTGAATTCCATCACTCCACTGCTTGCCTAAGGACCTACTAGAACTCTTCCAGGATTCCTCTAGTTCCCATGACTCACTAACGCATCCAGATGAACTAGTGTTGATTACAGTAAGATCCTTTGTGAGGTAACTACTTCCCCACCCTCAGCTATCAGTGTTTACTAATTGCAAAATTTTTTAATCCTCACCACCTGAGGACATTGTTTTCATTGCTTTGAGAGAGAGAAAGAGAGAGAGAGAGAGAGAGAGAACAAACATCAATATGAGAGGGAAATAGTAATTGGTTGCCTCTTGCACGCACCCTGACTGGGGATCAAACCCACAACTTGGGTATGTGTCCTGACCAGGAATTGAACCTGCAACCTTTTGGTCTATGGCACAATGCTCCAACCACTTGAGCCACCACACCGGCCAGAGCACTAATTGCAAACTATTGCAGACAGTCAAAGTGACAAAGAACCTACAAACAAGCTTTCCACTGTGGATTCATCAGTCTTTGTTCAGATCAACACTCCACAGCTACGACCTCCTTCTTTGCAATGTACAATCAGTTAACCCAAGATGATGGCCTGCGTCCATCACACCCACACATGACCATCCTATGAACACTGCTGTGATCACGTTACCTGAAAAGAGCGCACACACCACCTGCCGCCTTCTCCAACCTGCCGGTGTCCCCACTGCTCTCACACCTGCTTCCTCCTTACCAGACGGGTCCCATGGGTTGAGGGAGTGCACGGACAGAAGGACCTCATTCCGACTGCAGATTCCTCCCACAGCAGTGAGCCCCATCCTGGGGGGAGGGGAGCCTGTCGCAGAATACCCTAGAGACTTTTCTTCAACGTTCTTCTATGTACATATCTTATTTTCCCTCAAGATGACAAAGCACTTTCTGGGCAAGAGTCCTCTTCTTCACTTCTTTGAACTCTTCTTCAGGAACCTTCAACTGTGGTATCTAAGGGAATACTGGGAACGCACTTTTTGAATCAAGTTGAATGGGGCCTCAAACTCGACAGGTTCCCCTGGAGTTCAACCTTCAGTGACATCAGTAGTTAGGACGACTCATCTGCTCTTCCAAACCCTGGTGTTTCTCCAAGTCACGAGAGGTGCAAAGAATAATGCATTGGGACTACTGGTAATTCCCTTTAACCTCTCCTCTAACCAGCTCCGGTAAGTTTAAAAATGCACAGATCTTTTATAAAAAGATCTATAAGCAACTGGGTAGTCATTATGCTAATACAGATTATTGAGACAGTTCCAAAACAACTTCTAAAGTTTTAGAGATTTCTTGTACTTGTTGCTTCCTTAGGACACCTTCGTGCAGCCCTTTCTGTTCACACAGGTTTATGAAATTGACGTGAACATGATCGATGTTTCCAATTCAGTTTTGAGCAACACAAGAATTTTAGTTGGGGGTCAGGAGCCTTAGGTGGGTCCTTTCTTCTCGTTTCCAGAGCAAGCACTGGGGTTTTGGCCGGGCCCCCTGCCCATCACAGGCAAAAGGAGTCCTTCTGAACTTGCTCCGGGGAAGTAGAAGCCCCTCAGGGCTGCAACCTGGATTCTTCCTGCTCCTTTCTGGTGATAAGGGTCACGTGCTCTAGAAGGGCTACTTGCTCCACGGCCAGGTCAAGACCCTGCTCCACCCTGCCTGGGCCAGCACCATCCCGCCGCCTCCCAGCCCCCACGCACTGCAACTGGGCGCAGGGCAGACCCAGGTGTGAAACTGAAACTCGGAAACGCTCCCTGGCAGATTGGCACTGTGGCCACCAAACACTTCCCATCCTAGTCCTCCATCCTCGACTCCAACTAAACTTTGAAAGTATTTTATTTCACCTAAGATGTCACTCTATTTTCTCAAGCCTTTTCTTCATAAAAAAATACAAAGGTAGACTTTGACACAGTGTCTTCCCAAACCATCAAAAAATCCCACTGCTGTGTAGGGTGTCATCAAACCAGTCTTCGCTCGGAAAGCCAGAGCAGTATGTTTAAAAGTATCAAGCACGGAAGCTCAAAGAACTAGATGCTGCAGCCCAGAGCTCAAAATAGCCGGACGGAGGCTCATAAACAATAATGTGAGGGGGCAGCTTCCCACCAGAAATAACTATTTGCTAATGCATCATCCTGGAAGCAAACACTAACCCTCAAAAAAACATATTGAAATAGTTTTTCACATTAACTTCTAAATGTCCATAAAAATCAACAATCATTTCTGGGAAAGGAGATACTTAGAAGTCCAACCAGATGGCAAAAATGGGCCCCCAAAGCAAAGCTTGTATTTAATTCAGAGTTCGGATTTACAAGAGTAAGTGAAGAGAATTGGTTGGAAGGGAATTGTTTTGGCACCTCTTTTATTAATAAAATCTTTGACTACGTACTAAGTGTGTTTTCAACACTAGTGAAGCTTCATGCGCAAACAATGTCAATTATAACCGGCTAAAACAACAAAGATATCACCCAGAATAATATCTCTCAATATACCTGTTTTTGTTTTGTTTTTTTGCCTTTTAAGATTTGGCCCATAACACAAACGCAGGCATTGAAGTCTTCCATGCAGTCACAGGGTGCTACAGTAGTGTGGCGCACCAGGCACACGGGCACGAGGGAGACCCGAAGTCTGGCCACCCTCGGGACCCTCCCTGGGACCTTGAGTACCCAGGCAAGCCTATCTCAGACGAGCCCACGCGTTTGAATTTTGGCCCCATAGGTACATTTTATCAAGATCCATATTCTCTCCAATCCCCTGCCCCCTTTCAGCCCCCAGAAAGATCTGGGTCCTGCATCTTCGCCTTTTCTGAACTTCTAGGCGCCACGTGGAGATAGCCTCCACGAGAGCTTCATGGGCGTCTATAAGCTGAGCCTGGAGAAAACAGAGGGAAGCACAAATGCATTGCTATTTTTATCAGAAACCGCACAAAGCAGTTAGCGGGGGCATCCATTCACTGTCCTACTGGGCTCTCCCGCCCAACCTCCCCTGCACCCTCCAAATAAGAGACCCCTTTTATCAGGTGGTTCGCCTGCTCCGCTCTGCCAAAGGCTTGGACTTGCATACAAGACCCTGGGTCTCCCAAATGTTCTTGTCACTCTTCCTGAACACTAGTGCACTACTCCTGTCACCCTGACCCTCCCACGCCCCGCCCGACGGACACCTCCTCTCACCTCCTGCCGGCGCCAACCCCACCCAGCCTCCCTGGCTTCACTCAGGTGTGGCCTCCTGAGGAAACCGACAGCTCCCTCCCGTTCCCCCCAGCTCCGATTCCTCTGGGCTGGGAACAATTACTGACACTTGACTCATAGTGAATATATGCTATCTTGTATTATATCTTATACAGCCACTGATTTTCTCCTTGTCTCAATGCACGTTTATTAAAGGCAGAGGCAACGTCTTATGCTGCTTTATGTCTTCCACAATAGTTAAAGAGATGGCAAATTATTGTCCCTCTCTCCAGATCCCATATTGCTTTAAATCAGGCTGGCGTCTGGACGGTGTGGGTGGAGCCAAGCTCCGTTGGCACAGCACAAGGAAAGGGCATTCCAGCATGACTTTGAACCAGTAACCCTGTCTTTGCTTCTGAAAGTGCCTAACTGGCATCCAGGTAGTGGTGCCAAGGTAATAACTCCAGCCCCTCCCAACTTCTCCAGGGTTTTAACACTGAACTTCCTTAGCCACTGTGACTGCAACTCAGCAACTCAGGAGACCATTTTAGTTCACAGGTGCTACGCAGTGTAGGGTCGGACAGTGCTCTGCACTTTGTATTTTAACAAAACCAAGAAGGTCCTGATTACATACAGAGCATAGAATGCAGCTGGTTAAGCGCTGTATGGAAAGAAACTGGAATGGGATCACAGGGTAGCAACAGGAATAATTAAAGCGCCAAGAGAGAGCGCTTAAAAAAACAAAAAGTAGATGGAAGTGGGATTACGGCGAAGAAAAACAGGTCAGGGGAATGAAAGTGTTCAAGCGTATGGTGGGTTATCTTAAGGAAATCAATAATCAGCTCTTTTCCATCTAGGGAGGA